TTGGCTTTCCTAAAGGGGACTCAGCTTTCCCCATCATTGGAGGAGCTCAGGACCTCACTGTTGCTGAGGATGGCTGTGGTACATTTGGGGGAGCTCTGGTGCTTACCTTGAGCTTTGCTTCCGGGCTCCAGTTCAGATCCCTCAATCTGCTGGCACAGATCCTTCATCCCACTGGCACAGACTTCCTAGATTCCCCCACTGACCTCTGGGCCTTTCCAGTGCAGATCTATGAGCCAGGACTGCATGAGACATTGTTGCAGGATCTAGGCCTCCAACTGGACTTGTGGGAGGCATTGTTATGAGCTCTAGGTGTACAGCTGGACTCATGCAGGACACTATTGTGGGATCCAGGCCCTGACCTGGATTCTTTGGTTTTTAGTGTGTGGACAGATTTCTTGCACTCTCTATATATCATTCTTTGCATGATTCTTTATATAATAGTATTATAAAATATATCCTGCATTATATTGTTCACCTTGCAAAAACCCCAAAACATGACAAAGATATTTCAAAAATTATTAACCCAAGACATACACTGTTAGAGAACATTGGTTTACAAAGCAAGAAAGAAGTCTAAGTATTTTAACCTCCCATTTTCAAACTTTTTTTAATTTTTTTTAATCTTTTATTTATTTGGTACAGGGTCTGTCTGTGCAGCATGGGCTCATAGTGATCCTCCTGTCTCGGCCCCCCAGTGCTGGGATTACAGGTGTGCACCACCACACTTGGTTTCCACAGCTGGTTTGGCTCAAGGTCTGCACAGCATGCAGCACTGAGGATGGAACCTGGATCCTTGCACTTGCCAGGCAGAGGCTTAGACAGCCCACCTAGCTCCCTGGCCCCCCTTTCCAAACTTTTAAACGATCTTATTGTAATTCAGTTGTAGATACTCTAAAAGAGAAGTAAATCAGAATTAAAATTTGAGCAAGTTACTTAATTTCTCCCAGCTTCTCTTTTTGCTGTCAAATGGAGATAGTAATACATATAAAAGAGATGGTGTGAGAATTTAATAAGTGTCCATGAAGTCGTTAGCAGAACTCCTGCTGCTCAGTAAAGAATGTCTTGAATTAGCGGAAGACGCAATACTATTATGGGCTACTGGACTCTTTTAGAATATTTTGCTGAGTTTACATACCTATAGTAGTCAAATAACAGAACTTAGCAAAAAAAGGGGATACAGATGAATGTCCATTTTGTATCTGTGTATTCAAAGTGGCTAGGATAGATATATAGTTACATTCTCTTAATGAATAGAGTGATTTGTTCTAATGGTGTTTGTAAATAGGATATCATGTCCGCATCTTGTACAGCAATTAATCACTAGGAAGAATGTATGCGATGTGTTAATTATTGAAACTGCCCTACCAATTTGGTTTGAAACTGTCTCATTGCTATTTGTTTCTCAATAAAATTATGGGAAAAAAAAGAATGTCTTGAATTGTGATAACCTATATTATCTCATTACTATTTTATTCAAGATAACCTACAAATATATATGAAATACAATATGGTCAAGTGAATACAGAAGTAAATCAGAAGAAACACAAGGGCAAGAATAACACTGTGAAGCTGGTAGAGAAACAGACGCACAAAGTGAGTGATGTTTCATTTTCCTGCACTCATTTGACAAATATTTACTGAATTCCTATTCTATAGTTGTCTCACAGCCATGAACTTATCTGTGAATGAGATGCCTTTGCAAATCACACAATCCTGTAAGTTTGGTAATAAAATCTATTAGTACTAAGGCATTTTCTGCACAGTTTTGATACTCTGTATTCCAATCACAGATATATCCATATAAATTCTTAGGATAATTTTTTTTACTTGTTAATGTGCAACAACTCTGCCATGCTATCAGAAATCAATATTAGGGGCTGGGGAGGTAGCTCATCAGTCTAAGAGCCTGCCTAGAAGGTGGAAGGACCCAGGTTTGATCCCTGGTACCTCATGCCATGCGGGCCCTGCCCCAGGCCAGCTGAGCCAGCTACCGTAACCCTGCCTGTGGCACACGCCTGTAATCCCAATGCTGGGGAGGCTGAAACAGGAGGACCACTATGAATCCAAGCTGCCTAGCAAGACTCTGTAGGAAACGCATATTTAAAAAAAAAAAAAAAAA